TTCCTTCCTTCCTTCCTTCCTTCCTTCCTTCCTTCCTTCCTTCCTTCCTCTTCTAGGCTCCCTTACAACCCAGGGTCCACCTGGTATTAGAGAATCTAATACCTAAGACTAATTCACACTAAGATATGAGATTACCCCTCCTTCGTATTTGAGAAGCTATTTGTATTTGAGAAGTTGACCAAGTAAGAGGGAACTTCATATCACAAAGGCATGAATGCAGATGGTGGTTAGGCTCCAGCCAGACCAAAGGGAGTGCAATTTCTACACTATTATGCAATGTAGAAACATCTTTGTGTTTGTAGCTTGGCTTTCAGCTCCCTTCTCTTAACTTTCTGTTCATTCATTCACAGAAATCTTAGAGAAACTGTCTGTCTTTTACAATGCTGTGGATTGAAACTGAAACTAAGGAGTCCCTGGACAAGAAGCTGGAAGAGGCGCAAGCAGGGCATCTTTCTCTCTCCTGTCCTTTGGCATGGAGTTATTTATGGGTACAGGGGGGCAGCACTTCTATGTTACAAATAGAAAACAGTTCCAGGCATGCAGAGCATATCCCCCTCCAAATGATATTGTCAAAAATACACCTCTGATAGTAATCGGTAGATGTTTTACAAAAATGTATCTCTCTGTGTATTGACACCTCTTGGCACTGTGACTTAGCGGCTCCTCCCATCGCAAAGTGGAGTCTATACTTGAAATTAATATATAATTGTATGTCAATTATATTTCAATTGAAAAGAAATACTCTCTCCTACAAACTGAAATGTTCATAGATGATGAAATTATATATCTGGGATTTGATTGAAAATAATCCAGGGGGAGGGGGAATAAATACAGATAGAGAAAAAAGTAAAATAAGATTAGCTATGAATTGCTAACTGTTGAATCTGGATGATGAGTACATAGTGGTTCATATGCTCTTCTCTTCTGAATATGCTTAAAACTTTCTACAATAAAATTATTTTTTAAAAGGAAAAAGAAGTGGAGCCTACTTCCCCTCCATTTGAATCTAGGCTGGCATCATGGCAGGCTTTGGCCAATAAAATGTAGAAGTGACAGTGTGCCCATTCCAAACCTAGGCTTTAAAAGGTCTTACAAAATGTCCACTCCCTCTCTTAGAACCCTATCCAGACATGAACTGGGCTAGTGTGCTGGAGGATGAGAGACCACATGGGGCAGAGACAACCTATCCCAGCTGAGGTCATACTTGACTAGCTGGCCCAGTCACATGAGTGAGTCCAGTCAAGACCAGAAGAACCACACAGCTAAGCCAGACCAAGCTGCCCATTCACAAAATTATGACCTAAATAAATTATTATCTTAAGCCACTAAGTTTTGGGATGATTTGTTACACAATGGTAGTAACTGAGCAAACACTGTTCAGTCCTTCCCCTTGCCCACTGAATGAAGTATAAACTCCCCATTTGGATACCCATGGCCTTATATCTCTGACCCCAACCTTACTTCCAATATGAAGTCCCAGAGTTCTTCTACTAGATATTGCAAACTCTAGTGCCTATAGTGTCTTAGAGGGAACCTACATTCGTGTGCTGAGCCTGGAGTGAACTTCAGTGAACAGATGAGCATTGTTAAGGACAGCCTCTGCTCAGCTCCAGCTTTTTTTTTTTTTTTTGGTCAGGTATGGGATCCCAGTGTTTCCAGAGCTTCCTCTTTTATCAAAAGAAACTGGATATTCAGATTTCTCTGTAAATTGTCCATATTTTTAAAGGTTGACATCTCATTAAAAAGTATTTTAATGCTATATAGGACAAACAAAATATGTTAGTCTAGGAACTCCTAGATTTTTATCTCTGCTGGATTCAAACCCATGTCTCTTGAACGTGGTTGTCTTGTTCTGCATTTTTACATCTTTGCTCATGGTATATGCTTTACATAGCACACACTAACCCTACTTCTGAATAGCCCCCCACCCAGAATTCATCCCAATTCATTCAACAGCAAATGTGCTGGGTGTTGTTCCAATCACTGAGGAGACACAATAAACAAAATACAGTTGGAGCTTATATTCTAATAATCATCTCTGGGTAATAAAATTATGGCTGATTTCCATTCTTTCATACATTTTACTTATTTTTAAAACCTAGAACATGATTTTATAAATGAAAAATGTGGAAGAATAAATATGGACAGGTTGAACATTTAAAATGATTATTTTCTAGAGCTTTTCATTAAGTTTTACTATTTTCATCTTTAAAACCCTTTGTTGTCTTTACTATAGGGCTTACAATGAAAATTCTCCCTTGTAGATTAATTATTCACACTCTGACAGACCTACAGACAAGGGTACATTTACTGTGAAACTAATAAAGCTTAATCTCCAGGGTCACTCACTGCACAGGATATCTTCCAAGGCCCTGTACTTAATTTTCCCCCCACCATTTATGAAAATTTTCAAATACTCAGAAAAATCAGAATTGTACTCTGGACACCTATATACCCACAACCTAAATTCTACAACAAACGATTTATTATATTTAGTTTATTACATACTTATCCACCTACCCATGACTCTCTATCCATTAATCCATGTAGGAATCCTAATTTTTATGCATTTGAAAGAAAATTTTAAATATCAGTATACTTAATTCTAAAACACTTCAGCATTTATATTAAACTTAAGTTTAATATTTGTTTATAATGGGGTTTGAGGGTGAGCAGTTAACATTTCCATGCTGTGAAATGCACAAATCTTAAATAAATATACCATTCAATGAGTTTTGACAAATGCATGCACATGAATAACCCAAACCCCATCAAGATAATGAACATTATCATCATGCTAGAAAGTTCTATTATGCCCATACAATCAGTCCTTCTCACTCCTGTGCTACAATTCCTTTAATAGCATTTTTGAGGTATGACTGTCACATAATAAACTATACACGCTTAAAGTGTGTAATTTGATAAGTTTTGATGTATATGCCACCACAACCAAGGCAATGAACATACCCGTCAACTCCTTTATAATCACTCCCTTCCACTCCTGATTGGTTATTATGGAACAGTTCTGGTTGGACACGGCAGGCCTTAGGAAATCCCTTATAGTTGACTCGGAAGACACAAACAGGGCATAGTGCAGGAAGCTCTTCTTGGTACACAGAGTACATGAGAAAGCCCCTGTCTTCTCATAGCAGCTCAGCTCTTATTATTTATAAAATTTGGGCCCTTGGTTGACCATGGAAGTCCATCTCAGCTGATAAATCCCTTCTTGTGATTCACATCAAATGAATCTTCTTAGGTTCTACAAGCCAATAGGAAGATTGGTATTTAAGTAATCACACATAATGTTGGGAATTTCACCCCTGAAAGGAACACAGTCAACACCTTTCCCTCTAACTATATATAACTTTTGGAAGTTGGAGACAAGACTATATATTTCTGGCTTTGTTTATTCTCTTTCTCTAAACATGGCCATTAGGTGGACATGAATGAATATACTTTCAGAACCATCTAGAAATATTCTGTATAGTTTTCACTAAGCAGCCCTTTGTGTCGTCCAAATTTCTTTCACCATGGGATATATTACCTATTAATTTTTTCATTTAAAATTGTTTCAAAGAATATTCAAGTCCAGCCGGGCATGGCTCAGCAACTGAGTGTAGGTCGACCTAGGATCCAGGAGATCACAGTTCGATTCCCAGTCAGGGCACATGCCGGGGTTTTGGGCTCCATCCCCAGTCAGGGGTGTGCAGGAGGAGGCCGATCAATGACTCTCATCATTGATGTTTCTGTCTCTCTCCCTCTCTCTTCCTCTCTCTGAAATCAATAAAGATATATTAAAAAAAAAATAAAGAATGTTCAGTATTTGACAACGTACCTGTGTATCCATTAACATGGAAAGCCACTCAGATATATTTTAAGATTAAAACAGGATCCCATCTATATCCAAATTTAGATAGATGAAGATTTTAAACAAAGTTAATGATGACTTCTCTGGATAGAGACAGTTTTCTTTTTTGCCTTTATAGTTTTCTAATTTAAAAATTTTTTTCTAATTGTTTTGCATTGAACAGGCAGTGCTTATGTAACAGTGAGAATCACTGGAAACGTTTTATACTCTACTCGGTAACATATGGGTTTACAAAAGAAAATTTCTTTCTCCTATTAGCCATGCAAAAGCTCAGTAGCTATAGCAAGAAAAGGGGGGAAAGTACAAATGCTAATGATGGTTTGGGTGAGTTTTGGAGGAGAAAAATATTGAAAAGTCATTCTTTGGATTAGCCGTGATTTTCAATTATTTGTGCTCTCCTCTGCTACCAATTGTTATAGAAATAGATTTGTGTGTGTATTAGAGTCAGGAAGATAAGTTTGATGTGTGTATTAGACTTGAAATAAGTAACTCCATTCTGTGTGACTGAGTGTAACTGCGATGCCCACGTGCGGTGATAAGAGTCACACTTTGTAGCCCCGGCTTCCAAGCAGGCCCGCGCTCTGTGGGACCCTGATAAGACACACTGAAGACGCACCACACCTTCAACTGAACTGTTAAAAGCAGGAGCTTTTCGGCCACATCCTCGGATGCTTGTCTGCCCTCCAGAGACTTCGTCCCCAGCTCCGGGAAAGCTGCCCCTGCCTTGCTCTGCGCTGCGTATCTCTGCGAGAGCTTCCAGAGGGCTGCAGTGACCGATGCCATCGCGGNCTGCCCCTGCCTTGCTCTGCGCTGCGTATCTCTGCGAGAGCTTCCAGAGGGCTGCAGTGACCGATGCCGTCGCGGCCGCATCCCCAGACCTCGTGCGTGTGTCTTTCAGCGGATCCTCCGGGTGGCCTGCTGGTGCCGAGAACCGTCGGGAACTGGTAAATAAACCCTGTGGGATTTGCTTTATGTTCGTCTCTGTCTCCCTTCTTGAGACTTGAGTTATTGGCTCGGTCTCATTGAACCAAAGTGTCTCTCGACCCTCACCGTGGTATAGCCACGTATTGGGAGTTAGACCACCTGCGTTTACGTCTCCAGAGAAACTGGGACAGCCAATTCCACCGAAAATTGGCAGCTGAGTAAATAAAATTTTGGCAACGTCTGTGCCAAGGTTTAGATTTTAGCGGGGTTTCATCTTTCAGGGAGACTGCTTGAAAAATATTTGCTGTTAAGTGATATGACGATAGTTTAGCAGCAGGCAATTTATTGCAGTGGTTTGGGACTGAAGAGATCGTGTAAGCAAATTCTTTCTGCACGCGCCCTTCAAACCCAAGAAAGGATATTTACTATCTGGGTTGTCCCAGGGCTCCTTACAGGCTCCGATTTGGGGG